AAAGCATATTGAGCGCTAAAAATATATGAAGCTCAAACTTCATAAAAAATATAGAAACTACTAATATAAGCCTTTTGTATTTTTAATTTTAGAACATAAAACAAAACTAAAACTATAAAAAATTTGCTTAAATAAGTTAAATAAACACTACATGTAACAAATTGCTTTTAACAAATATTAAAATTAAATTTTAATTTTCACTGTTAATAAAAAAGCAACACTGAACGATATTAATGACACGACTTTTGTAATTATTTTTTGTTTTTTGAATATTTAACAACTTATTGTTAGCGATTTCGTATGCAATCGTCTCTTACAATACAAATATTTGTACATAAAAACATAGACAAATACATATGTACATACATAAAACGAAGTACATACAATACATACATATGTTAACCGATTCGAAATGTGCAACTAAACTACATGCAATTTTCATCTAATTATTACCTCACAGTATGTTTTTCGTCTTGATATTGTAGTATAAACGAGTAAATGATATAAATGAATAAATGAAAACGAGCACGTAATGAAAACATATTGAATTCTACTTAGATGCTTACATACACACCTGCATGCATACGAATACAGAAAATTTGTATGTAAAAATTTAAGAACAATTATGTAATTCAAAGCAAATATATAAACATGCGAATCGAGCACCGTAAAATATGTAACTAACCCTAGAATTAACAGTAAAATGATCGAACGAAAATGTAAGTAAAACAAAAACAAAACTATGTTGTAATTGTAATATGAAGGCGTATGTATGTATGTAGCTCCAATGATAGCGTGAAGCAGCGGAAACCAATTTTGGAAATCAGCAAACATGCCGCAGCTACGTACATACAAACATACGTTGATAATGTGGAAGATTGAAATAAAATTGAAACAACAATAAAGTTTTGAAAACTATATAAAAACACCAATAAATTAATATTTTATTTATTGGAAAAAAATAGGAACTTTGAGCTATTCTGTTGAGTGGCCTTAGTACGCTTTTAACTGAATTGGTAAAAATATTTTTAATTGCCAAACACATTGTTAGAAAGTTAACCAAATGCTACATAAAAATTTACGAGGAATATTTCCTATTATTGCCAGAATATTGCAATAATAATATTATTTCTTTACATTAATCACAATTAATTTTTGCAATATTTATTAAAAATTCCGGTATTTATTATTTTCACAAATTCCCAGTATTAACTAGTACTTATTAATTTTCGAAATTATCTGCGGTGGTAAAAACCTCTCAAACTATTCAGAGAAATTACGAAATTCTATAAAAGTTTTTCACAAGGCACACTTCCTAGTATTTTCCAAGCAATAATAATAGCATTTCCCTACATTAACCATATTTAATAATTGCAATATTAACCGGTATTTATTTTTGTAGAAACTCCCAGCATTAACCAATATTAATAATTTATCTGAGGTGGTAAAAACCTCTTCAATTTAAATAAACTTTGTGAGAATTTTTTCGAAAATCTATAAAAGTGTTTAAAACGGGCATCTCCCGGTATTGTAAGAGGATTTCCCTACCTTAACCATTTCTAATATCTGCAATATTAATCATCCATAATTTATTATTTGCAGGAATTCCTAGTATTAACCAGTATTTATTATATTATATATAACTGATGTTGTTCATAGCACTAAAACATAATATTATTTATTGCTTCAGCATTATCTATAAAACATTATGTTCTTCCTATCAGTATATTTCAACATTATCCAAGAGTTTTAAACCCGATAGTTTTTACTCCCCAAAAAATGTCCCAGCATTAATCAAGAGTTATTACCCACTTCATATTTACTAGAAAAAATTTTTATTCGCAAGCAATATTTCCCGGTATTGTTACAGAGTTATGATTATTGTAGCATTTATAGGAAGAGTCACGTTGTTTTTATAGAAATCCCAATATTATTTTTCAGAATCGGTATAATATAAAACTGCAAGGATATTTTGTGAAAAAATGTAAGCTTGAAAGAAAGATGTCTCCAGGAACTTGGAAAAAATGAATGAACCAGACAGAATATGGAAAATGACAGCAATGTTGACACTTTCATCTTAAAGTTTTCGTAATAATACTTTTCTTGAGCACTCTATGTACAGTAGTATAAGTAAAACAATCCTGATACTCACTTTAATATAATCACACAAGCCATCGCCCTTGAGTTGACCATCGGACTCCGCATACAGTTTCAGTTTATACTTTTGCGTTTGTGGATCACGCATAATCATGCCGCATTTGCCCATCAGCTCGGCGAACTCATCCATGGTAATGTCCAAGGGTAAATTCGATACATAAACTTTCGTGTTCTGCTCGGGATCCAAATCAAACCATTCTAAAAAATAAGTAAAGAAGTGATTTTTAGATATAAATAAAATAGTATATTTCAAATTCACTCACTTGGCGGCTCTTGCGCTTTCCGCTTTATAGCGGGTGCACCTTCGCCATTTGCATTCGCCGCCTCCGCTGCTGCAGCCGCCTTTGCCTCCTCGGTCATACGTTGCAATTCCAACTCTTTTTGCTTTTTCTCTTCCTCCGCTTTACGTCTGGCCTCCTCCTCCGAGGCACTAGTGTTATCTATGAAACCGTAATTCATCTGATAGTGCGCCATAAAGTCATCATCGATCTTCGGAAACCAAGCGTTCTTGCTCTCATCCCAAAAGAACACCGTGCCATCTTTATCGGTGTAAATGCGTTGGCCGTCCTCGTCAATGTCATAGATCACATTCGCTGGATCAGTGGCATTCGATTTTGGATCGCTTGTTTGTGCGGCGCCCGTTTTTGGTATCCACTCCTTTTTCTCCGCATCCCATTTGTAATGCTCCGTTTCGGTTGTTTGTTGCTGCACTTTGGGTATCCACTTTTGCGTTTGACTGCACCATTTATAGTGTTCATTCTCATACGGATTTTCAGTCGACGTTGTTGCACTCTCAGCTTTGTCAGCGTCGCAAGGCAACCAATTATTTTCTGTTGTACTCCATGTGTAGCGATGATGCGTATTGGGATCCGTATAGATGGCGCTGCCATCGGGTTCATACGTCACATGCTGTGCGTAATTGTCGTCCAACTGCGTTTCAGTAGAAGGCACCGAAGAGGATGATTGAGTATTTTCATCTGCTTCTGTTAGTTTTGGATTGAGGGCTTGGTTGGATTCCTCTTCTCTATCAAGCACAGTTTCTTTCTCGTCCTTTTCCATACTAACTTTCGCTCTTTCTACGGCGCTCTCACTTCGACGGATTTCAGTGGCACCAACAACATCTGGAGAACCTGTCGCATTGGCTACCTTTTCACTTTCAGTTATCTCTGCATTTTCCATCTCAATTTTCTCTGCATTTAAACTTTCGAAAGTGCTTTGTTGTTGCTCTCGTGTTGTGGAAGCTTCTTCAATTTGTTCTTTTGAGGTAGTTGAAACTATTTCTTCGTGGAGTAAAGCTGACGTTGGTGCGGCAGGTGTTGTTATGGGAATATTTTCTGATTTTTCCCTTAACTCGGCATTCTCACTGGATCCTTGCGGCATTTCTTCCGAAGTCTCACTCATTTTGCATAATTTTTATTTGACTAAAACTAAAAAAAAAAATATAAATATTATTTATATTAACAATAGTCGAAGAGGGAAGCGAGACGCGGAAAAAAAAAGAGAGAAGCCAAAAGAATTTATCAAGACCGGATCATACTCTTGTAGAAACCCCAGAGGTGATCTAGTGACTGATGCCCAGAGTATACTAAAAATTATGGAGGAAACACTTCTCCAGGATGTTGAATGACAGTGAAGGCATAACATCAGAAGATGGGGAACCCAATTTCCCAATCGATGACGATGGAGCGTACGTTCAACTGGCAGACTATGAAGAAGTTCGAATAGCAATTACCCATCTGAAGAACAACAAAGAGTGAAAGATTAAAGCCCACATTCAACAAACTGATTTCACCTTATCAATATAGCTTCTGGCCTGGAAAATCAACAAGTTACCATGTGCCAATCACGGCGGAACAACTGCAGCAATGGAGATCCTTTTTTACTTACAAAATTTTACTATGTATTTTTACAATAAATATATAAATTAAGTCTTAAAATTTTTGAAACAAAAGTTTAGTACTAATTTCCATAAGTCGCCTATTTAAGGCTGTTACACCCGGTAGGCCCTTAAAGAGTTTGTTCAACCAATCCATAGAAGTGTCTCACTTTTTTTTTTGTCGTAGATAAACTCAGCTGAAACCAGTTTTGAAAAAAACGAAGAAATTACTTGAGTCATAAATATATTTTTATTCCATTAATTAACCGTTGTTTACATTTTCATTTCTTGAAGCACTCGTTTCCTTATTTCTGCAGTCCATTTCCGGCGGCAGATTGCAAAAATTCATTAAAAAGTCATTCTCTTTTAAACACACATTTCGCGAGGTGCTAACGGTTATTTATTTACTTGCAAGTCCGCATATTTCTACGCGTGCCTTAGATACTGTTTTTACAGTTGACCAAAATCGCGTTGGAAAATACAACTTCCGCTTTTGAAAGTCAACCCCACATATACATATAAATACATATCTTAAGGTCAAAGGGCAAACGAAAGAGAAAACTTGTGCCACAATATTTATTTTGTCGCTGCTAATCATCATTACATTTGCCACCACAAGTCACACGCATGAATCTTTTTAAAAAAAACACCCATTATGTTTGCTGGTAAGTGCCGCACGTTCCACGTTCTAGGAGCTGAAGGTCAAAGCGAATGCTTTTGCACTTCACGACTTCCGGTCTTAGTCGTTTGCGTTTATTTTTATCCTTGTGGCAAAGCGATGCGTGCAGCAGGAGGTGCTTGCGTGCCTGGTCTACCCGACCAGTAAAGTAAAAACACCAAAAGTGGTAAGAACTTAGTTTAGGTTCTTTATGCTATAAAAGCTTTGGGGAGTTCAAGCAAGTGTCGCACAGTGACAAACAAATGAATTTTTGCTTTTATTTCAATAATTCATCGATGTCAATGACCAATTCCTTAGAAATATAGATGGTATGTAAAAGGTCAATTGAAAAGTCCCCGGCCTGGTAAATAGGTGGCGAATGGTTGAAGCAAAAATTTTGCTTGATGACGAGTTTCAGTACACTGCTCCAGAAAAATCAACCATCGAAAATTGCTAACTTTAAACGTCATGAAATGAGGACCGAAGACGGTGAACACAGTGGACGCCCGAAAGAAGTTATTACCGACGGAAACTTCAAAATGACGATTATTCGGATATAAGAAAGCTCTGTGCAAAGTGAAGTGTTGTGAACAAAAGCAACGACGAGTTCATGATTCGGAGCAGTGTTTGGTAATGTTCGAACGTAATAAACTCGAGTTTTTGTGTAATTATTTTTATGGTCATATTTGACAATAAATGAATCACGGCTTCATCATATCACATCGAAGTCCAATCGAAAGTCATCCTAGTAGATTGCACATGAATAACCCCTTCCAAAGTGTGGGAAAAGCAACAGTCGGCTGCCAAGGTTATGTCGTCTGTATTTTCTGCACATGGAAAATCTTTTATTGACTAGTTTGAAAAAGGAAGTACTATCAGCGGAAGTGTTACAAAGCGTTATTGAACCGTCTGATGATCGAAACCGTCGAAAAATGACCGCATTTGAAGAAAGTGCTGCTTCCCAAAGACAATGTACCGTGTCATAAGTCGAAGGTACCGATGGCAAGAATACATGAATTAGGCTTCGAATTGCTTACGTATTTTCCAGACATAGCCTCCGGCGACTATATCCTGTCCTCAGACCTCAAAGGAATGCTCGCTGGGAAGGAATTTTCGTCGAATGAAGAGGTGATCTTCAGTTTCGGTCCCTTTCGAAGCAAAGGACAAATACTACTACAAAGAAGTTGGAGGAAGTCCGGGGACTTTTCAATTGACCAAATGAAAATGTTGTTAGTAACGTAAGAACTGTTATTTTAAGCTAAGAAATATCGATCAATGGCTTAGATCAACACAACCACAAAAAGCGTTGACTTCTTGCCTTAATAAGGTGGAATGTTGGTTTATTGGGCTTTTATTTAGGTTGACACGCTCTTTACTTCATAGCTAAATATTTAAGTAGCGCAATTTGGGCGCAAAACTTTTAGTATGTTAGGATAATGATTGTTAAGACAGCGAGCGTTCAATAAACATGTCATAAGAAATATGGTGAGTACAAATATACGAGCGTGACATGATATGTTGTGAGCCACTGCTTCAGTCATTGAAAAGGGAATATGTATAAAAATAAATCGTGAACTTATGCTGTGGCAAAGCTACCAACAGGTGTCTTTTTATATAGCCTTACGAAGTATAAAAAGATATTCTTCTCGACTTTTAGATCAGTTTGTATGGTTCAGCGTGACCAGTCAGAAAACATACCGACCCATCAAACTACCCTTATATTTATACATTCGAAGTATCGGCATGCATGTGTTGGACATCTTTATACATAATACTTAAGTATCAAAAATCAATCAGCACATGAGAGAGTTCAACGTACTCAATCGTTTATCCAACTCCAACAAAACATCCTAAAATCCGAAATTGGACGTTAAACTTTTAGATACAAGCGCCTTCTCGACCCAACAAGAGACCAACAACACAAACAAACTTTAAAACGAAACTGAAACTTTCCAAACAAAAGGAAAATTTTATTTCATTCCTCCTCATATCAATATGCAGTTCATGCGGTCAACATCAGGTGGGTCAACAATAGCCTAGCATACACGCCAGTGCAGCTCAAATAACGTGTATTTTATGTAGACACACAGCACTCTAAGTTGTTACGAGTACATATGTATGTGCAGGTAAATCTTTGTATAGGGAGAAACATTGCAAGCTACTAATTTGGCAAAACGCCTAAGCTTCCGCATGGAAACCCCATCATGAAAATATATTCCATTTTTGGTATTGTGAGTACATACTTAAATGATAGGTGGGTCACATTTCACAGACAAGCTGGATCGTAAATTTTTGTAAGAGGTCGTCAATAGAATAGAATTATTATGTTTATTTGATAGACCATACCTCCAAAGGCACGTTAGAAATTATCGCAGTTATCCTTAAGCGAGTAGTTAGATATTCAAAAGCAGTGATGAGGTCTCGAAGGAATGTGTCATGGGCATATCGGTCATGAATATTTATGTAATATATGCGAAAGCTTAAAGCAAAGTGGAAACGAGGCGAACAGACCAACAATGAATTGATAATTCCCACTAATATTTGGAGTTGCTAAATCAAAATAAATCAAATTTATTCGGTCGATATGTGAAAAGAAACCAAGACTTCAATTCAGAGTTTAAACGAAAATACTTCAACTATATTTCTTGGGATTTTGGAAAGTTACAACAAAAAAATATATAATATATATATATATAACTACAAAAATTATATCTACTCTTTGATGATCGCTATAATTGGTTTATCGCCATCGATGGTAATAACATAATATAACGGGTGATCCAAGTAGAGGTACTTTTTTCGATAGGCTTTTTCGACAGATAACGCGTGAGTCGCATCAGGCTGTCATGTAATTTTTGTTCAGTATTGTTTGGCATTTCATCATGAAGAGACTTACGCCTGAACAACGTTTACAAATTTTTCAACTTTATTATGAAAATTCAGCCATAGCTGAGAGTATGACCGTGGAAAGTCGATCCGGCGCCATTTGCAGCAACTCAGACTGACTTATGGAACGACTTGGCGCATTTTACATCGAGATCTGAAATTGAAATCGTACAAAATACAATTCATCCAGAAAATAAAAGGTTTGGTGTGTTTTGTGGGTCAGTGGAGTCGTCGGTTCTTATTTCTTCAAAAATCTTGCCGGTGAGAACGTAACCGTCAATGATGTCCGTGGCGTCATGCCATGATAACGGACTATTTGGTGGCTGAAATTGAAGTTCATGATCTCGGCGACATTTAGTTTCAACAAAACGGCGGCACTTCCCACACATCGCATCAATCTATGGATTTGTTGAAAGAACACTACGGTGAGCGCATAATTTCATGTTCAGATCGTGTGATATCACACCATTAGACTTTTTCCTAAGGGTACATGTAAAGTCTAAAGTCTATGAGGACAATTCCGCTTCGATTCAGGCCTTGCAGCAAAACATCACGCGGGTCATTCGCCAGTTACCAGTCGAAATGCAAGAGGTTCAACAGAAAAGTTCCTTACATAGTTCTATAGAGTTTATTCTACTTTCGTAGTTTTTACTCTTTACTCTACTAGGGCTCCTACAACTATTCAAAACTCATGAAAACGGATAATTCGAATAGTTGGTTTGTAGCCGCTCTTAGAAATATAAACCGATTAATTCTATTCGACTAGTCATACCGTTGCCACTATTAATCGAATAGTCCACGACTTACGATTTCCGGCTAGTGCAAACCGAATATTAATCTACCCGGCTAATCGAAAACCAAGAGCTCTACTTTCCACATCATCAAGTGGAATTTATAATTTAAGATATCTGACATTGCTTGCCACTGCATATCCGCTATTAAAATAGTAATGATCCAACCCTGACCCTACATCATCACAAGCGCTAATTTCCTCTCTTTCAAAGAAT